GAAGGAAGGAAGGAAGGAAGGAAGGAAGGAAGGAAGGAAGGAAGGAATGGAAAATGGATGGATGTGAAGGGATAGGTTTAGAGAGGTGGGTGGATAAATTAAAGTGATGGATGGATGGATTTTATAAGATTGAATAGATGTCAGGCTTAAAACATCAAGCAAAGGTCATACCTTCTTTTTTGGCCACCACACCAGCCATTTTTGGTCCAGGAGCAAGAAACTGCAACTTCCTCAACTCTGGATTGCTGTCATAGTCAATATTTGAAGACTAGAAGAAATGATAGGTTTTAAATAAGAACTGTGCCATAAACATAAAATGAAAGTCATGCTGGAGTCAATAAAGACCAGGATATCTATAATGGGGATGTAAGACCAGAGGTCTCATAATTGCACTTTATTCAGCTATTTTCATAAATATGCGAAGTCTGTAGCTGCGTTTTGCCCATAAACATGCAAACTCTGTGTAGCTGTGAGCTGCCAATGAAATTTAGCTTTTCACTGCCGGCAGTCAAAAATATGGAAGGTACCAACTGATTAGTTTTGATTGACGGCATCTTATTGGCAGCTCACAGCTACCAAGTTTGCATGTATATGAAAATAGCAAACAAAACTTGATGACCAATAGCTAATTTCTAGTATTTTGCAAAAACATACATTTTCTTCATCATCATCAAGTTTAGCTCTCCTCGTTCGTCTAGCTGCCTGGTAATTTGTATTTGTTGAAACTGACGGGGTATAGTCTTTGTCTTTTTCTTCTTTTTTCAACTGATCAGCAGTTGGCTGAAAAAAATAAATTCAAAATATATATAGCTTTATTCAAAATGTATATAGCTTTATACCTTACTGTGTTAGTATGTGCGACTCACTAGCATAATTTAAATATACCGTAATTTCAACTTTTTATTATTTTATTTTGTTACCTAATGTTATAAATATTTATAGTTTTCTTTTTTTAGCATTTTATTGTCGTGAATTAATAGACCATTTTCAAGTTCCAAATTACCACTGTGTTTCTTGATTACAGACTGATTTACTCAGGCTTAGCCAGGGTTAAAACATATTAAAACATATCTCTTCAAATTAGTTTCTTTTTTGTAAATTTCCTTGTTGTTTTTGTAGTTTGTAATAATCCTTTTTACTAGTGCTTAGAACAAATTTGCATTTGCGCTTTATAAATAAATACTATTATTTATCATTATTATCATTATTACTATTATTATATCAATAACAAGCATGTGATCAAATACATACCACAGGGTCCCCAGTAAATGCTCCAATTAAGAAGATATCATATGGGTACAAGAACTTCTCATAATTCATTCTTAACAGAGTAGGTGCTGACTTGCCAGCGGCATAACCCATCTATAGAACAAAACAAAGATATTGTTTAGATATTATTAATCTAAAAAAAAACTACGGTATTAAGTGCAAAATTTTAGACAAATAATTTGACAATTCACACTTTCTTGTTTATGATGGGGAAGCTTGTCTGAGTTATCCTCGATTTGATTTGCATGAGTTATCACAAATCAATATGTTGATAAATTTCTAGACTTGAGGCAAAAACAATTATGTACCCCAATCTCTGCACGAAAGGAATTTATTGTGTTACAGACACCTAAAATATAGCAGTTGACTTAACTCACAATGAAAAAGAAGAAAGTACAAAAACTCCAAGATTATCACCACCCAGAGTGAAAACTGCTAAACTTATAATGAATAAATGAATAACCAGAAGTGAAAGAGTAATAACTCAGAAATCTGAGTTCCAGATGGAAAATCAAAATTTTTTTTGAAACTCAGATTATTTCCGAGTTACTTCTCTTTCACTTCTGGTTATTCATTTTTTATTATCAATGCTTTAACCACTCATCAATCATAACACCTTTTGTGTGTGTGTGTGTGTGCAATAATTATTGCTATCATAATTACAGTTGAATTGCATTCAAAGATTATCATCTTTAAAAAATTGAACAATGTAAAAATGCAATACAAAACTGAACTACTTGGTCCATTTGCACATGACATGGCAGATGGTAACTTAATATATATGTTGACTCATTGAAGTTCTACTGAACATGTTACCTTTCTAGCCACCATGGCCCATTTTTTCTTTCTCGTAACGTGCTCATATCCACCTTCCTCATGGACAGTCTAAAAGAAGAAATGATCCCAAAATTAATAATATCCTTAAAATATCTAGCATATACACCTACTTGCATGAACGTTGTCATACGAAAATAGAACATTAGTGATTTAGTGAGAAAGGAATACATTAAAACACAAAAGAAAAAGTTCAGCTTCAGTGATCTTCTTTTGTTTTTTAATATAATTCCTATCCCACTAAATCACTAATGTTCTATTTTTGTATGACAACATTCTTGCAAGTAAGTGTAAGTAGAGATTGTCACATGAAACTTTATATCGTTTTTATTCATGAGTTATGAAATTTAAGATGCATATATAAAAAGAACATTTGTGGCTTTCCTAATCATTGTCAAGACCTCTTCATATTAAACATTTGTTTTGGTGAGGTGAACCAAAACCATTGGCCTTGGGCAAGTTAGAAATCATTTGGCAGTCTTTCTTAAGTCGTGTTTATCTCTAGTTGGAGTCGTAGATCATCAACATCTGCATTCTTAGTAAAGAAAGAAACAATGCTAAAGGGGAAATTGAAAAAATCACTAGCTGATAATCTATCATTTTGTTATATACATCTAGTGAGATTAGTGACTTATTATCTTCAATGAAATTATAATTTATTAATTCAAAATACAAATATCTTTACTCAGCAAAAATTGATCATGTAAAATGGCAATAAAACTAAATATTATTAGACTTCAAATAAAGAGAGATGGCACATTTGATATCTCGTTGATGTCTAGAGGAATAAGACTGAAATGACTTGAAATGACATCTCAGTATTATCTTATGACATAGTACTGCATTTTACAGACTGAACCATGGTCAGTGATCAGTGAAGCAGAATATTCCTCGAAACAGCACTCTGGTTCTGATGCAAACTACTCTATTAGCCTTTCCAAGCAGAACCATTTGATGACTTGAAAATTAATGGGCGAATGATTGGACCTTAAAAGCTTCAACATATAGTAATGCCTAAAATAATTAAGGAGACCAATGACTGCATTTTCACTATTTTGGGTATATATACAAGTTAATATAAGAGATAATGTATGATAATATATGAAAACCAGTGATATAATGTGGCATTGCTAATTTATTTCAATATATCATAAATAGAGGCATGAAATAGAGTTTTAAAGTTGTATTGTATTTCCATGTTCAACTACTCACACAAAAAATGTTATAAAATAAAGCAAAAAATATTCTCAATGATTTAATCTTCACCAGAAATAATAAGAACATTTGATAACAAATCTTGTTGAGAAGAAAAAGTAAGATATCTTTTCATAGAACTACTTTTTATTTTGAGCCCGGAAGTCGTTTTTCAATGACATTGATGACACATTTGAGCCCTATAAAAATCCAAAAAGACACTCCGCTGTTTGACATAATTATAGAAAATTTAAAAAATTATATAAAACAAGATCAGAGGCTATTCTGGATTATTCTTTTCTCTAGTATACATGAGTTAACAACATGAATTACAATTTGGTATGTGGAAGTTAATATGTAAGTAGATCTATATGTCACATCAGCATAGTGTATACAGCATAGATAAATAGCGACCTTAAAACTGACGGTGTATGGTGTACAGTGTTAAAGGACAACTGACCCTCCAAAATGACCCATTTTTAAGAGGAACTACATCATT